CTCGAACTTGATGTGAAGATTGTTTGGTGTGAATTCTCTCAATTATGAAATTATGAACCCTCAAAATAATGAGGTTCCCCTCTGAGGTTTACATAGGCTTTTGATGGGTCATTGGGCTTGGATAATTTTGGGCCAAACTCTACTGATCCAATTACATATTTTAATTGTCAAATTATCTTTAATTTTAATTTAGAGTTAATATCCAAAATTTTTGGTTGTATATATATATTATTACGGGTCTTTCGATTAAATATTATCATTAATAGGAATCGGTTATGTCAACTTAATATATACAGTTATGTGGTTAAGCAACCTTTTAACTTTTCTAAGTTAGTTTCGATACTCCACAACTAAATCAATTTATGAGAAAAATTTTCAACTAAAATTTTTTTAATCCAAATCATTTGGTTTTGCTTTAGTATGTTTGATATATGCCTTTTAAAGTCTGTATAAATTACTAAAAATGATTTTTAAAAGTAATGGGTAGTTTTTGGTTTACATAATAAAGAGCGGTTAAAATGTAGTTTTTTACTCCATTATAAGTACTTTTTAAACTTTTTTAACAATCAAAAGGGTTTGAGAAATTCTAGAAATGGTTAAAAAACAAGTGTTTTTAGATGAAACATTTAACTAATTTTATTCGGGCTTATATAATAATAAGTGATTCGTTAAAAGATACTTTTGAAAAAGACATGTCAAACAGACACTCCAATCCTCGCTCAAGGAGGTGAATAGAAAAAGAAAAAACATTGTAGAAAAATAATTTACGGCTACAAGTTGGTTAACTAGGAGAGCTTGAGTGTCTTTGGCAAGAAAAGATCTGGACAAGAGAGACAAACACCTGAGTCATACCTTCACTGTAGGAGAATGTATCTGAGACTTTTCTCTAGTCTTCCCGCATAACAAGACTTGTTTTTCCTTCCCAACATTTGCATTCGCTAAAGAAAAAAATCAATGGTTTGTGTTGACTAGTGAGAGCAATTGAAAGGGTGTAACTAAGAGTATAAAATTTTAAACATGTCTATATTTTCATCAACATCGTATTATTAATGCAAACATAATAACAAGATTTTTGTTTAAGGAATGAAATTTTTATTAATTAATTTAAATAATTTTTTTATAAATTCTTTTTAATTTTTGCGTGTTGAGAGTATTGAAGCAATATTAATATTTTACTGACATTTCTACTCACGGTTCACACGTTGGTTTGAAAGTGAGCGGTTGGAAAAGTCAATGGAGATGAGAATTGGAATGACAAAGAAAAAGGTGTGAGGGACCGCAGTGATGGAGAGTGAAACGGACATACAAGATGCTCATTTTGCGTGGTTAATGGCAGGTCGTTATTGTGAAAACGAAGCTCAGCGATAAATGACATAGATTTTCTATCCTCACATATTCTACTAAGGAAAATGGTACTCGGGTATAATTTTTTCATTCGATATTTTCATCCAATATTATAAAAATAGAGTTTGATTGAGTGTAGGGGAGATATTAGCATCCTACCACATCCATTCGAAAACGGTTACCATATTATTATCCTATTAATTTATTGGTCTAAAAAATATTTTTTGTTTTATTTTAAATATCTCATATTTTATAGTATTTTATTAATTCACATTTTTCTATAAAATATGAACATGAGCGGTACGAAGGCCACCTCAAGAATATTGGGAGTTTTTCAAAAGATTTTATTATTTTTTTGTTTATTTATTAATTTTAAAACAAAGTGAATTTGAAAAACTTTGTTTTATTCTAAAATCTTTTTATTTATTTGGAAAGTTTTAAAATTTATCTTGAATTTTGAAAAAATCATTTATTTTAATTAAAATCCATTTTAAATTTATCTTTCTTTAAACATGTTTTTAATTTTATTTTTAAAACGATTTATCTCTTATTTTGAAAACCAATTTCCTTTTTATGTCAAAAATTGTTTTATTCCTTTTTTACGGCGAATAAAGAGATTAAAAATTAATTTGAAGATTTTTGCGCACTTGCACGGGAGTTAACAAAGCATTGAGGTAGTCAATTAAAAATTAATTTACACATAAAATCCTTAATTTTAGCAAAAAAAAAAAACTAAAATAAGTATCAAAATCATTCAATTTTTGCCCGAAAGCAACCAAAAAAAGATTCAATTTTCAGCTCCAAAACACCAAAAAATTGTCTTCAAATTTGTAAAATTAATAAAAAAAATAGTCCAAAAAAGTTCAATTTTAAGCCCCAAAACAGTCCCGAAAATGGTTAAATTTTATACAGAAAACAGTCCAAAAAGTTCCAATTTTCAGCCCAAAAACAGTCCAAAAAATTGTTAAATTTTACAGCAAAAAACCACATATAAATCAACCTAAAATTTCTACCAAGACGTACACGAAAAAGAAAACAAAGATTTCATCGACCTTACTCACAAGAGAATACCCACAGAATGGAGAGAGATTTGTGAAAGGTCGCCGGAACAAAGGATAACGTCGGGGGTTGGACTTTCGTAGACTCTCACCGTCGCATTCCACCAAATTGTGATGGGATATGAGAAGAGATAGATGATATGGCTGATTTTAGAGGGAGAAAGAGTTGGAGAATAGAGAGGAGAGAGTGAGTTGTTGGCAAAAGAGAGGGAAGATGGTATGTTTTCTAAAAAGCAATTTTACAACCAGGGTTTCAACATTTTCTTTGTCCAATCAGATCTCGTAATCTTTAACGGAAAATCTCATTTTAATTCAAAAATCAAGTTGAAATCATATTTTAAAATTCCTCGAACATTAACTAATCTACAAAAAGAGAATCAATATGAAATTCAGTTAAAATTTAAAGTAGGTTACAAAAATATTTCCATATCAATAAGAGTGAATTAAAAAAAATATATATTTGGTATAAAATTGTTAGGATAAATACGAAAATGTCATAAAAGTTAATTTTTCTATTCAAATCTGTAAGAGAGATCCCTTTATAACAATAATCAATTTGTTTTTGATTTTCATTAAGCTAGCGAGTCTTTTATTTTATTAAAATTAGTGGGTAATGAAAATTTAATATTAGAGTAAAAGTAACAACACATATCTAAAATTAGAGTTTAATATGATTAAATTGAAGTGAAAATTGATACAATTTGTTGAATTTATAGGTAAAAAATAATTCAATTATTTTACAGATATTTTTTACGATTTTAAAGATAGAAAATGGACAAAATGAGAGTAGGAAAAAAAACGGGGGAAATTATATTTAATGGCATAAAAATATGTATTTAAAAAAATATGATTATTTTTTGTTTTTTTTTTAAATGCCACTAAAGTGGTTAAATATTATATAGAAAAAAAATACACTTTTGGTCTTGTATCTATTTGGTCCATAAAATTTTAAAATGAACATTTTTTGTCCCTGAAATTTGGAATATATATCTATCTAGTATCGAAGTTTCAAAGTTGACATTTTTGGTCATTGAAATTTAATAAATAGTTATAAATGGTCATTCATAGCTACTTTAATCGTTTATTGATTGACTTTAAAATGATGTGACAGTTAAATTACTTATTTGACAAAAATATGTTATTTAATATTATATTCGTGGGTTTTTATTTTCATTATCCTTCCTTCTTCCTCATTCCGGCCTATAAGGATAGGAACGGTGGGTGAGGATAGAAACAACTATAATATTAAATTAGTATATTTTTTCCAAATAAGTAAACCTCAAATATCAATAATGTCTATTTTTATTAAAATTTTATGAACCAAATAGACACATATTCTAAATTTCATGGATAAAAAGTGTTCATTCGATATATAATTAATTGAATAGAATAATAATACATTTTTTTTTTACTATTCTTCAAATGAAAATGGATGAGATTCTAAAAATTAGAACATCTTTTCAAGTCTAAGGCAAATATTGTCCTACACATTTTTTTTATTTGGACGACACGAATTTTTCTTTTTTTTTTTTTGACCTTGGACTAAAAATATATATTTTAATTCGTTAAACTATATTCTAGTTTGTTATTCTAGCATTAGGGGCGACTCAAGATGATACGAGACCTTAGACAAAACCTTGATTGAGAGGCTTTAATATAGAAAATATAATATAAAATTTATTTTTCTTACTTTTTGATATGCAAAATTATGTATCAAATTTTGATAATCTAAGTTCATTGATATATCATTTTCAATGAATAATATCAACGATCCATTTAATGTTTCTTTTGACATAGTTGACTTTAAATACGATTAATTTTAATTTTGAAAAACTTCTTCCAGCAGAAACAACTATTACCGATATTGTTAATAATATTTTATAAGCAAGATATTTATTTGTAAAAGCGTTTACCTTTTTTATATAATTTAATTTACAATTGATAATATTGTGAGAACACATAGAGGATCAAGATGAAAATTTGAGATTTGAGAGAGATCGAGAGTGAGAGAGGAGAGTACTGACACATAGAGGGCGAGAATTCAACTTAAAATTAGTGTAACCTAAGTAATATATTTATGAAGTTTTTTTTATAGAACTTGAAAAGTTTTGGTTATTGAGAAAAATAAATAAAAAGATAAAAAAATATGGAAAGTCTCCCATAACCTAAAATTTTGAAGAGCTTTTCCTAATAGGTTGAGATTTTTAAGGCAATTTGAAATAACATGGTTGACTAATAAATTTCGACAAATTAAAAATTGTCACGTAATTATAATGACAAAATTATATGTCATCAAATTGAGGTCAATTAAAAAAACAAATTAGTAAATTATTTTATATTTTAAATTTTAAATTTAATTTAAAATTAAAATTAAATTAAATAAATATCAATATTATATATTATAGGTAAAATATAAGGCCTTTCTAGAGCGGGCCCTCAAAAACATATATTCAAGTTTAAGCGGCAATGGAATGAAAACAAAACAAAAACACAAAAATGGACACGTGTAGGTAGAAGATCAATTGGACAGGCTTCCACCAGAAAATTAAAAAAGAAAAAAGAAAAATATGATATGATACTCTTTGACGAATTAAATTGATGAAATTAGATGGCGGAATCGGCGGAGGAGAAAAACGGAGCCGCCTCTCATCGGAGCTCCGGCGCCGACGATCTGCTTCTTCTTTCCCGATTGCTTTCTCAGGTTAGATTACAAATTTACAATCACTAATCTCTCTCTGTGTGATGATATTTTACAGATTCAGAAATTTGAATTTAGAATCTCATTTTATATTAAATGAATCCTATTTTATTAATTTTTTATTCTGGAGTAATTATTAGTTTAAGTTAAATGGGTGTCTTTCATTCTCAACATGATCCAATAACATTTTACTTTGAAGCCTTTAAATTTTATACCAGACATATGTTCTATAATTCATTACATTCCAATTTCTCTATTATATTTTATAATTCACTGGCAGCAAATGTAATGACTAAAATAAACTATTAATTTTCTGGTATGTATGTCAATTATTTTCATATTATAAAGTGTAGCCCAACCATTACATTTTTGTTTTCTCTATTTCATATTGCTCCTTTCTCTATTGCTATATTTATATTTTAAACTCAATTCAATACTTGGTTCATTTAGTTTTGAGGAATTATTTTCCTTTGTTGTTCTTTTGTTACCCAAAGAAAAAGCTTTGAATGGTTACGATTTGTGTTGATTTGTTTTTCTTCTTCTGGTTAGAATTCTATTTGCATTGAAGACGACTGTTGACATAAAGAATTATTTCTCTTTTATTAATATTTAGTGATAAAGAAACTTTCTTAGCCTTATGTAACATCAAAATTACAACTTAGCTTTGAAAATCCACCGAGCCAAAGGGTTACTAATAAAAACTTATTACTTCGTCTTCCTTCAAAATATCATCAAACCAGAGGTTCGACATCTTCTGAAAATGTTCTAAATTTATATAATGTTCAAAAAATGTCCTTACAAATATTTATATAATTCCATTAATATGATATAACTTACATTTATATAATAGATTCTTACCATTAATTTAATATTTTAGGTTTTTTTATATTAGTTATGTATATGTATTAATTTTTGTATGTCGGTAGAATTCATATTAAAATAAAAACCTTTTTAAAAGTAAATATTGAATATAAAATTTATTTTCAATTTTAATATTTTAAAAAAATACCATTATATAGTTAATGTTATATTTGGTGAAATTCATTCATTATATTATTTTAAGAAGAAAAATATCATCCTTAAAAAAATGTTTATACTTAATTGCTTATTAGTCAATATTACATTAATTGACTTAAATTATAAAATTACAAATAAAAACTAAAGAAATTTGATAAAAAAATATATGAAAAAATAATGAAGGGACAAATATGTCAATATAGGATGTTTTCGACATAGGAATCGTGAAAACCCATGTTTCAAAAAGATATCCAAATGAACTCGAACGCCTTCCGTACGGGCATTCTAGGATACCCGAACATCCTGAGATATTCGAGTATCTTCTAAAAGCCAAAAGATTCAACTATCATCATTCAACCTAATTTAAACTTGAAGGAAAATTGGGGAGAAAAAAGTCACCATAAAGAATCTCTGGAGGTCCACAAAGGCCAGCCATACTTCGCTAAGATCACCAACCAACACACCATCAAACAACTTCAAGGATACACCAAAGCTTCAACCAAAAAAAGGAGACAAACTTACGTGAAAAGTGTTCTAAATATTCATTTATCTAATTTTTTAAAAAACTAATATTTTGAGCCCCAATTTTTACCATCACATATTACCATTCCAAAAGTTGATGATTTAATCTTCCACCTAATGGGAGTTAAATCGTTAAATAAAAAAAAGTTGAATGACAAGTTAGGAAAATAAAAATGTAGTTTTAGTAACAATTTAGTTCTTAATTTTATATTTTTGAAAATTATGTTTGTTTTCAAAACATTTCCTTTGTATATTTTTACCTTTCTTAAGGAAAACAAGTTTGTACTCTTAGATAAATTACAAAACAAAAACAAGTTTTTGAAAACTATTTTTCAAAAATTTGACTTATATTCTAAAAAACATTAAAAAAAAGGGAAATACATGAGTGAAAATAGTTAAACAAAATGCAAAAAAAAACCCAACATTTTGAGAGAGAAAAAATCATTTTGCAACTTGAAGAGAACCAAAGAAAAAATGGTAGAGATGATTAGAAGACAGTTCTTCTAACCTTTTTGCTTGCAGTCAAATGTCAAAATCCTTTATTTCATTTTCTAGTTGTGAATAAAGTTCTCTCTCTTCAAAGAACTTCAGAATAATTGTTAAAAACCATTTGGCCTATAATATGTATCCAAATAACCCACAACTAGTTGCCCTTCACTGCCATTAACAGGTGGAATCAACACGAGAAGAACAGAGGCGCAAGCACTCCCAACTTTCAGCTCAACAAGAGGATGTGGAAAGAAGTGAAACCAAAGTGGAAAGAGAAGAAGAGGCAGTAGTGAAAGAACTAGAAGAAGTGAAGAGGCAGAATTTCATAACTCACTGCTTAGTTTCAGCAATGATAATCCTCACAGTTGCTTGGCAAGTCTCTGAGGTGTCTTTCATTTTGAAACTCAGAGGTGGGTTGAGCAACCCATTCAAATCCCTAGCCAAAATTCTCAAAAAGAAGACAACTTCAGCAATACATAATCAGATTGAAGCTACTGAATTGCCTCACCTTAATATGCCTGCCCTACCTCATGTGAGCCTACCAGATTTTGACTTGGATGGAGAATAGCGTACCTGCTCTGCAAATCAATCATCAAGATCATCCAAGCTGGTCCATGGATATGCTGCCTGCTGCTAGCTCTTTGAGATTCGATTTTCCAGGCACAACCAATCATTTCAACAACCGTATGTAAGTTGTATGATAGATAAGATAAAACTAAAACCCTGTAATATTTGTGCCACAGAATAAAGTTAGAGCCATCGAAGTATTTGTAATGACTGTACTTTTGTAATGGAAGAATTCTGATTTTGATTCCATTTTGAACATTGCGTATTTCGATGTCCATGCCGAAGAAGTTTTATTAACATTATGTCATAAACCAATATTGAGCGGTGATTTTCTGCTCGTATAATGGTGCGGCATATAATATACTTGTGTCTGAATAGTATGCAGGGAGTATTGAGCAAATCACCTGAATGAAACCATCTATTTCATCAATTCTCAATGACAACCAAGAAATTCGACTTTTTATAGGCACACATTGAAGCATAAACACAATAAAATATAATCCGAGTTCCCATTTCAAATGTCTAAAAAATCCCAACGGTGATAAACAAACTGGCTGAATATCGTGACATTTCAGGCCACCCATTAATCTTCACTTCAAGCATAGTTCAATCGGAAAATGTCATTCAGCACAAAGAAGCTTCCCTGTGGGGTTGGCATCAAATGGAACATCTGAAAGCACATAGCGAATACAGTTTGGTTAGAAAAATTTTGTATGTGCATTGTATGGGACCCAACCTACTTAAATACAATCAGTAAACAAGTCAAAATTCTACAAAACATAAATTCACAGTTAACAAGAAAGAAAACTGTCCACAAAGCAGTTAAATGTTCAAATTTAGCCATTAGTTCATCCTGTAATTAACTATTTAAAACTATGCTTTCTTTCTTCATCTTTCAGAGATATTAACAAATTCTCAATTTCTCCAAGAATCTCATAACAGTATCGAAGTTGTTTCATAATAATAAACACAAAGAGAAAAACCCATCAGAGAATATAAAATATAATATCATTCCATAATTTGTTTTAACAATATGTTCATTGTTCTAAAATAAATTCAATTCCATATAAATTTTGCAAATAGGTTGAATTACAAAAACTATTGAAGAACATACAAATACATTGCTCTTGCAGTCCCATAAAAAAATATATCTAAGAAGACCAAATTCGATTAAACGTATCATAGCTTCAAAGATATCATCATAATAAGCCAAGGAAGTTACAACATGCACATAGGAAGAAAGCCGCCACATGGGACGAACCCAGTGGCAACGTTGTCGTTCAAACATAACAGCAGGATGAACTTTCTTAGTCACCTCACAAACTCCCACAAACAATAACAGCAACTTCCAAGTTAAAACAAATTAGAACTAACTTATTAGAGTTTGAAAATCAGGCAGCTTCAAGTTCCTAACTAGGCCCATGTTGGTAAATCAGATAGATAGCCAAATGAACTTGTTCAACCCGTAGTACTTCATCTAAAAAAATAATAACCCAATGGTAAAACATAAATCATCTCAGACATGCTGCAGTTGCAAAACACCAAATATATTAAGAAGAACAATCTCAAGCTTGATCTACAGTTACGCTATCCAAATATAGCAAAAAGAGTTCAGACGAAAAGCCCTAGATCTACATGAACAAAGACGACGCAGATGACCAAAAATCTAATGATATTTCAAGCGCACAAACGCAAAATTAGAGATAATCACAACAACAAATTCAGTAAAGCAGTCAAACCCTCTAACTAGGATCGGCGAGCTCCAAGAAAACAACAGATCCAACCAAAATCAACCTACATATTCAACATCGCTAAAACAGGGCATCAAATCGATAGCAACAAACCGATTACCTGACTGAATTTGAGCGCATGTTGCTCTCCGGCAAGCTGAAGATTGCCGCTGACGAAGACGAGCACGCCGCCGTTGGGGCCGGAAGGCTGGCAATCGACGGTGGTAACGGAGTGCTGGCACTGCTGGAAGGGGAGGCCAGTGAGCTTGGCTACGATATTCTGCGCGCCTTGGATCTTCTGACCTTCAAACGTCAACATGGAATTGTCCTGGTAGAGATTCGCAAGACCGGTTCGATTGGCGTCGAAGGTGGAGTAATAATGTTCAACGAATGCCTTCGCCACCGCGTCGGGATCCATTACCGCAATCTTCGAATCCGCCGCCGGGAAAGAGATAACAGAGACTCGCTCTCCTCCGCCCTGCTTGAGAACAACGCTGAGTTTTACAGAGAAAAAATGGAGACGACAGCGTTGGCCGAGGGTTCCAGAAACTTTGAGGGTTAATCGAGAATTTATAGTATCGACGAATTTTGAGGGTTAGAATCGTCCGATTTCGGGATTTATTTATTTATTTTTGTGTTTTTTAAATTTAATTCGCGTAACTCTAACGCCAATTGCCAGTCGCCACTCCTCTTTCTTAATGGGCAATTGCCTTTTGAATATTACAATTATAAATATTTGAGCTTTTTCACTTTTCAAAGGCTAATTTATTTGAGAATCTAATTGTTAATGAATTTTTGTGTCTCTCTTCTCTTTAGGGCAAGCAAAATATATTATCTTTATCTTTTTTACTTTGAATTGGGCTACGGATATATAAATTTACCAAAAAGGAAAAAAGAAGTGGTAAATTCTGGATTCCTACTAGCTTAATCAAACTTCATAACCAAGGATTGTTGTACTAATGTTAAAAATTGATAGTTACTACATATACTAACAACATACATTTTTCTGTTCAATAATCCAATTATAAGAAGTTTAAAGCCAAGCGAAAAGTAATCCTATATTAGATGACCTCTAATGAAATTTGTTTAGGAAGCATGAGGACAAAAAATGTTGAAATAATTTTATTGGTCCATAAGGATAGTCTCTACTCTTGAAAGTAGCTAAGGTGAATGTTGAGGCTGTCGGGTTTTAAATCCAAATTTTAAATCCTTATCCAAATCATGGGCATTAACGTTACACATATATATTGTCACCACCAAGTGTGTCAATATTTTATTATCATGAATTTTCATAAAAGTGATTGCGAATAGACTGATCTTCATGTTATAATTATGTTTGTAATGTGTATGCCTAATAAAATGTTAGATCTAGGTTGACCTTTCTTAATCTTAGTTCCAAATTGTCAAACAATTTGATTAAGGGTGCGTTCGGGAGTGATTTTGGCATGACCCAAATCTATCATTGTCAAAATCACTTCCCTTCCCATTGATCATGTTTGGAAAATTAAAAAATTGATTTTAAGAAAATTTAAAATCACTTTAAATTGATTTTTAAGGTATCACTTATATGTAATTTTGAAAAATCAATTATACTTAAATTTCTTTTTTCAAAATCACTCATTATACCATCACTTCCAAATACACCCTAAGTGGTTTTAGTAATATGAAACTTTCCATATGAAAGTTTTTCAAGCTGGGTTGATTTTAACGCCTCTTTTTTTTTTATGAGGGTAAGTTTATATAGAATAATGAATTAGGCTTGTTAACGCAGGATTATGGACGAGGTGGTAAGTCAGCGTGAGAGCCGAAAGTGGACTTCTATTCAATCAAGACAATTATTGAACCTACAAACAGAAAATTATTGAACCTACAAATAGAAGCTTGCACCGATGTGGTACTTGGCCACGTACAGTAGTTTGAAGTTTAACATACTGTGTGATTCAAAAGTGTATTGCACTTGAATTGGTATCAAGTGTATTGCAGTTGATGCCACGAATGAGTTTGTTGATCATGTTCAAAAGAGATGAAGAGGATGACAAGAACGATAAGTTTTACTGATACAAAATTATTATTATCTATTAATCGATTGGATTGATTTTTCATTTTGCTCTCTCAATTGCGTTTTCTTTTTATTTTATACTGTTTCTATATAAATAAAGACTTATTTTTGTTTCATAACAGAGAAAGAAAACTTTTATGAGCACGTTTATTGATTTCATTCGGCCTCGGTGAGTGCACGTCTGGGTTCGAAGTTGTGTTAACCTTGGGGAGCAATTGGCAAGCATACGATGTAGCATCATGGTCGTACCGTAATTGCTTTTAGGATAGTGACTTCGTCTACGACACAACAATCTTTTCATTTAATCCTCATTTGTTCCAACATTTAATACCTAGCTGAACTGGTATCGAGCCGAGCTAAGTAAGGATTGCATTATAAGAGGGCTTTGGGAAGTGTTGTCCTATCATTTTGGCTCTTCGACTTACTTTTTAATAGGCTTGTTTAATGCCAATGTCATATGTGGTCGCGGTTAGTGTCGAACTGGACTTCCATCGAGTCAATCAAAGGACAACTTTTCTTGTCCYTTCTCATTCTAGACATGTCTCAACTGAGGTTTCGGACATGTATTTCCAAGCGAGAAGGTCATGTGGCAGGCTCTTGAATCTTGATATATATTGCCTTTAGCAAGACTTATGGACTATTTGAATATTTTTGAATTAGCATAAAAATTATTTATTAATTAAATAATTAGTTTAAATTTTAGTTCAAGATAACTAAAATATCTCTTAAAATATTTTCTAATTAAAAAAAACATGAAAAAATAAATACGAAATTGTTCTCAAAGTTGAAATTTGAAATTTGAAATTGAAGAATTTGAATAGTGATCCCACACATAAACCATCCCATCTTGAAATGATAAATCTTTCCTTTTCTTTTTGGTAACCATACCATCTTTCCTCCTAATTAAAATTCTTAAGTTATTAGTTATCAACTACAATGAATAATTTTTTGGATTCTCTATTAATGTAAGTGATCGATCAGCTCTCAGAATGTTGGATTGTTTTGTATGATGTTATTCTTTTATTTTATGTATTGTTTTGTATGATGTTATTCTTTTATTTTATGTAGGTTTGAATTGATGTTTGTTTTGCGTATTGCATCTTGTTAAAAGTTATGTTTATATCACGAGACTTGGATGCATGTGTATATGATCACAAAACGTTTTTATGAAAATATAGTATCAAGTTGATGTATTTGAAATCAATATTGTTCGGGCACTTGAGACCTTGCGTCACTAACTAACCAGGTACCAACTATCTGAATGAGTTTTTGGTCTAAAAATAGGTCACATAATATTTATGTATATCTCATCAAAAGAGTTGCACAAAATATCATCGTTTAGATTAGAGTTTGAGTCTCGCATGAAACGTGTCCAACATCTCAATGGAGTTGGCAAACAAGTTTTGAGATGTGTTTATTGTTTCCTAGGGCCAAACAAGTTATGACTCTATTAGTAAGTAATGTCTCATATCTTGTTATGTTTATATATATTTGTGTTTATGTACGCCACATACGTTTTAAAATATAAGCATATAAGCATCGCGTGACGCAAATCTTATGACTAGCACTACAATAAGGTTAAGATCATGTTTTATAAACTTCGTCATGTAAGTGCAAGTTTTGGCGACGACACAATTCGTCACCAAAAGCTAGCTAAAATTTTGTCGCCAAAGACCTTGGGCGATGAAAAGTTTTCGTCGCTGTTGGACTGTCGCCAGAAGGTTTCGATGACGAAATTTTCTTTTCGTCACCAAAAACATTTACGACGATGACTTGGCGACGAAACTCATCTTCGTCACCAGGTCCACCTTCGACGACGAAAAAAAGATTCGTCGCCGAAGAAAGCTTTGGCGATGAATTTTCCTTTCGTCGCTAAAGTTGCCTTCAGCGACGAATACTTGTTGATATAAAGAGGCTGATGGTTAAAATGTCATTTAAACCTTTTTATTTATTTATTTTATTTTATTTCTATTTTAATTTTTTATTGTTATTTTATTAATATTGTGAAATTTAATTAAGATGTGATTAATTTTTTTTATTTTTTGTCATTATATTTTAAATTTTAATTAAAATATCATTTAAATCTGAAAGTTTAAAATTAGATTAAAACCAATTCGATGATTAAAATGTCATTTAGCTTCTTAGGCTTTCTCTTCCTATGTTCTATAAAATAACATTTAATTTTAATATAAACTAAATCGATAAAAAATTATTAAATTAATAAAAACATAAAAGTGAAGGTATAAAGAGGCCGTTTTTGAATATGAGGTATGGATAATTAGGGTTTTTTTTGTTTTATAATTATTTTGTTTTAAATTATTGCATTACATGAAGATGTCCATCATGTTGTAGGTAATGCATGAACTATTTTCCAAATATGTAGAAAATTAAGATTATACAATTTTCTTAAATTCTATTTTTTTAAATAAAAATAAAAATAATGGCTGCGACTTCTCAGTTATAAAAAAAAAAAAGAACAAAAGGGAGTGGGTAGACATCCAAATTCAACATAATAGGAAAAAAAAACAAAGGGAAGTCGTTGCGACTTCCCCATGGAGCCACGTTAGGGAGAAGTCGCAGACAATAGCTGCGACTTTGCATTAATCGCGGACAATGGCTACGATTTACGATGAAATCGCAGTCCAAACCAGCGACTTGGTCAAATCACATTTTTATAATTACTTTGAAACCTACGCTGCTATTTTTGTCATTTGTTTTTAAAAAATAATTATTAAAAAAATCCATTTAAAACTAAAATCTTTACAACTATATTTCACTTTTCTATAAATATAAAAAAATAATAGTCCCATCAGTTATTATGCTGAAACCATTCAATTCTTTGTATTCTTTCAAAAGTTGAGGGAGTACACAACAAAATAACTCTAGCGCCAATCTTGTTGTAGGAAGAAAAATTTGTGCCTACGAAATAATATCCCATTATTCTAGATCTCCTTTTAGCGTTGGATTTTAGTTCTTCCCATTAGTTTGTCAAATAAAGTTAAAAGAATACTTTTTCTTGGAAAAGACACAGAGATCTTGAAAGAGTTGAACCTAGAAGAAAACGAACAAGAATCTAACCTCAAATCATGACGTAGGAAAAATGTTTAGATTTCTTATAGAAAAAATTGTAATGAACTTTACAATGATGATGAATAATATCAAGTTGTATGTGGGGAAAAAAAATTGATCAATGAGAAGTGTAAATTTGCATCTGAGTCAAAATATGCTCAAAGTTATCAGTGGATTTGTCAATGGGATGAGAGTGAATGCCTTCATAAGTGGTCATAACCACAGCTTCATCTTTAGTCAGTCTTTGCACTTGCTTCTTCACTTTGCAACCTTGGTGTGTACATCTATAGTAGCTTCTGCAATTTTTCAATTCATCACCCAAACAAAATGTTATCAACATAATTATTTCACCCAAATAATTCAATCAACCCTAATCATTATTAACTTCATTATCTACGCTAGCTAGTTTATTATTAGTTAAGTATTGAATATAGGGTTTAATTAATTACTCTGAACTCGAGTATATAGTTTAGTTGTTAACACACATATACATTTCCCGCTATTGAAGGTTCCTTCACTCATACATTATATTCTAGTCATCTTTATATATTTAGGATATGTGGATTTGAATCTTTGATCTTACGGAAGGCGTATGTGCTAATTAATTGGTTGTTACTAGTAATCAACTATAAAAAGATATATGACATATATGACTAATTAATCTAGGTATTGAGTCAATATGAGATTAGCTCAACGGTAAATGTCACCGGTCAAAGTCATGAATTCGAATCTCCCGCCCCCACTAGTTGTACTAAAAAAAATCAATCTAATATTGATTAATTGTTATCAAATGAGTTTTGTTTTATTTTATTTTTCTATCTTTAGGATTGTTGATTTGGTTTGACAATGATTTCGTTTTTTTTTTTTTTTTAAGTTATACTTATGTTTTCATTATTTATTTAGTATGTTTTTCATTTTCTTTATAACAAATATGAATTCTTAATCAAACTTAAAAAACAAAATTAATATTTTGAATTTTTTTTTATTTTTTATTTTTAGTTTGACTTAGAATTTGAAAGCGATTTTAAGATAATATGGTTACCTTATCATAACAGCATGAGTAGGCATTGTTGGTTTATAAAATCATATCAACAAATTGAAGCACTTAAATTATAGAGAAGAAAAATTATATTTAACTTTAAAATAATTAATACCATTGACTTTTTAAGTGCATCTTTTAACGCTAAGAACATAATTATCATATCTATCCAATGTTAAAAGGTACAAAAATTGTTATCCAATATTAACAAAGATTTCAACCTAAAAAGATTTATGAGTGGTAACGCTACCAAATGTTTATTGATTTTTAGGATTCTCAATTTTACCCTTGCCCTTAATACATAAAAAGTTTTCAAGTTTTCAATTAGCTTATTCCCTAAAAAAGAACTATTAAAATTTATTTAAAAAAGTTGATGTATTATTAACTTATTGTTTAATTTTATTTCAACACATGAATATAACTCCAATCCTATTTGACATACAAAAATGACAATTGGCATAATCAATAAAATTTGACTAGCTTGAAATGGATTTCTCATACCTACATATCCAAATATATGAACAAAATTTAATGACACATCAACCCTCCTCTATTAATTCCTAAAAATTCAATTACCACCGATATGGCAACTAAATTGCTTGCAAAAAAAAAAGAAAAAAAATGCCAACTAAATTACTATTAATTCCTAAATTACTCTATAAACTTCTCTTAAAATAGAGTAGATTCAAATTATTACTCTAATTTTTTTATGCAAATTTTGCAGGAAAAAAAATCCACGAACAAACAACCTTCAATATGAATCGAATAAGGTTTGAATCTCATGCACTATTATATATAAAAGTTAAAAAAAAAAAGAAAAAGAAAAACCAACAAGAAAGTAGAATTGAATTACCTTGGGAATTTGTTGTTCTTCACAGCCTTTTGTCCATATTTTCTCCATCTATAACCATCATCAAGAATATCAACTTGACTCCTGGTTTGAAAGGCATATCTCTGCCTCCTCTTCTTCTTCTCAAAATCTCCCCGCCCTGCCTCCGGCCCGGTCGTCCTTGTACTCGTCCCGGCCCCCGCCGCTTTCTTCTCCAGCTCTTCCACTCCCTCCCCGGCTGACCCATCAACAAAACGGACGCTTCTACTCAGCGAAACGACGTCATCCTTCATACTCCTCACTCCATCGACCGACATGTCGTCGATAGAAACATCGCGAAACACCGGAAACCCACCGGAGGCGTGCGGGCGCTGTAACGGGCCAGCTCCATGGATCCCGGCGAGCTCGGGAGCTCGAGAAATCAGCATCTGGTGCAGCGAGAGGGAAGTTGATGGGAAATATTGTTCCATCATTGATTCGTTTGGTGCAGAAGAGAGAGAGAAATGGCGGGCTAGAAATGAGAGGTTCTTCAATAATACTTGTGTTTGAACTTTGAATATTCGTGAAAGACAAGTAATAAGGTGATATCATTTATAAAGGGAAGCTTCTTCTTCTTATTTTTTTCCTTCTATTTATTTATTTTTATTTTATGCCAAAAAATGTGTTAATTGTGTTGTGGCTACGAGGAAGATATATTATAAATTATAACATGACACGTCAGCAAATTAAGAGAGATTGGCTTGAATGACTTTTTTTTTCTTTTTTTTTTCCTTGGTATGTTTGTCTATGTCAGCTTGATTGAAAAAGTTTTTTACCAAAAAAAAAAAAGTTTATTCATTGATCCAAAAGCGATAAAAATGAGAAAATTGGTTCAAACCCATGTAACTATCTATTTTAAGAATTAATTCCTATATTTTTTGTGACACCAGCACCACTCATGGATATATATATGTGTATGTATTTAATTCGAACTCCTGACTTTTTTATCAATGATAAACATTTTAGTCAGTTGAGCAGTGCTCAGGTTGACGGCATAAAACTGCATGATGACCATCTATCTTAGAAATTAATTTCTATGTATTTTTCAATACCGACACCAAATTGATCCAGACACTTATGGATATCAAATATATATTTTTTAAATTCAAACTCCTGAATTATTTATCAATGATATATGTCTTGATGAATTGAGCAATCCTCTGGTTGAATAAAATAGTAGTATCATGATATTTAAAGTTTTTATTTTTTTAATAGGTTAAGGTTGTTTGAATGGTGGGGGATCACACACTAGGGTGATATTTAATATCATAGGGGTTGTACTTTGATTAACAAATTCAACTTGTTTATTAATTATAATTTGTTCATTATTTTTTTCAATAAAGTAGGGGTGAGATTAATATTTAACAATTAAAAGATATTTCATTCATAGAAAATAATTTTTTTTTATTATTACGTACAATTCTAAAAATGTTATTTAGTAGCAATGAAATTAAAATTTTTTGATATACGTTAAAGTACTAGAAGTGTTGGAGTGACACTTGATAGTTTTTTTTTTTTTTTACTTAAAAAATTAGAAAATGAATTTTTTAGGATCTAATGATGTATTTAGCTTGAATTGTTTAGAAATAAATTTTTTTATATTTACTTTTTAATTGCTATCATACACAGTACTGATAATCTTTTCAAGTAAAACTTGATTAACATGGGTGATATTTTAAATTAATTTAATAAATACCTAAACCAAAACACATCATTTAAAAAAAACTTTTACAAATAGTTTTAAAAACTGCACCAAACATATCATTCATAAAATATCTTGAAAACTACTTTTTCAAATAGTATTTGATTGTCAAAGTGAGCATAGCTCAGCAATAATTAACATACGTCTCCAACCAAAAAGTTGTGAGTTAGATGTTTATTTCACATGTTGTATAAAAATAAAAATAAATAAATAAATAGCATTTGGCTAAAATTTTAGAACTTAAAATCAAACATATAATGTTTTTATCACACAAACATAAAAAAACTAAAAGCAACCCTTAAATTAATTTCTTGTTTTATCATTTTTTAATTCCTTTTAAATAAGGTTGGTTAATTATGAAATCTTAGTCAAGTTTGAACAAAAGTATATGTATATATATATTTTTTGTTTAGTTCCTAAAACAAAAAGAATTAATAAAAAAAAACTTGTCAAAAACAAGAAACTTAAAAGTAACATGGCACCATTTGTCTATGTCAATTGTTCTAGAAAAAAGCATTAAATAATATATCTTTTGTTTTTGGAACGTTTCCACAAATCTTAATAAAATAAATTTAATTTGAAAAGTAGATTTTGGCTAAAAATTAAGATATAAGTAAAAAATACGCTACCAATACTTAGCAACTTTTTTTTTTTTTTATACAATGTCAGGTTGGGTGAGACATTGGTCAATCAATTTATTTACTCAAATAATCTAGAAAAAAATATGAACATATTAGAATTAATTCATTCTTGTCTAAAATAAATTTAACTATACAAGGAAAAATCTCTCCTCCACACATGTTGTACTAGAAAAGACCATACAAAAAAATAATAAATAATTTAACCAAATGAAATATTTTTCATTATAATATTATAAAAGTTTGAAGGGATTAATAACATAATTCAAATGACTTTAGAACAGAAATATTATTATAATTTTATAATGGGTTGGTTTTGACCAAACCAATTATAATTCGTACATAGGTACTTTTCTTTGCAATTTGAACGATGGCTTGACTAAAATGTATTAAATTACTAAATTATCTCTTATATATATTTTTATTTTTTTTAGTTCAACGGGAGAGGTGAGCATCGAATTTATATATATATATTTATATATATATATATTTTAGTACAACATGTAGGGATTGGAGATCGAACTCACAGCCTCTCGATATATATCAATTATCATTGAGAGCTATGCTCACCTTGGCGCATTGAATATTTGTTATTTGTTATTATTAAATTAAAATTAAGATTAAACATACTAAAAATGCAATTTAACCATTAGTATATTAATCTCAGATTCTCAATGATTTTACCAATTACTGAGTGTTAGAAAACCACATCAAATTCAAGTTACTATTAAGATTGTAAATTCACAAAATTGAAAGATAAGGGATGAAATTAATATATAATTTAATCGTTAATTTTTTCTGATTTTGTTGGCTTTCGGATGAACTTAGAGCTAAGAGTTTGCATGGACAGTAAAATTGGATTATTTTTGCAACCCATGTCATCTTTTTGTTTAAAAGAGCTACTCCGAAATTCATGTGTTTTATTGGCCATTTTTTCGACTTATTATTACCTTTTTTTTGGTACATCTAAGAGTTTCGAACTCACGATCTCTTGGTCAGACATATATCCTGAGCTAAGTTCGTATTATTAATAGATTATGAATGTTATATAAAATAATTATAATAATATATTGTGATATTACTAAAAGTAATACAATAGAGATTTAAGACGTTATTTAGGTTAGAGGTTGGAGTCCCTAAAAAAAGGCATTTATACAAACTAGAAATTTTTGTAGATGTAGTATAAATGTGATGTCTTTTAACGTATATTTTGAAATTTTAAGAATTTATTTTATAATAATTTAATGTTTTGTTTTAAATTTTAATTTTTGAAATATATATTTGCCAATTTTAAAAACAAAATATAATATTTTTTGAAGTATTTTAAAAAAAATTGATTAAAATTTCAAGAATATTTGTAATTTAACATCATTCGTTTTAACTATTATTTTAAACAAAAAAAATTAAATTCTTGTTTAATTAACAATTTTATAGAATGTTTTATAAAGCTGTATTTAAAAATGAATTTGCCCTGATTTCTTCAAATTCTCTCTCTCTCTTTTGAAAAAAAAAAAAAAACAAG